GAAGGTGAACAGACGAGGAGTCCTCACCATCAACTCCCAGCCCAGCATCAACGGCAAACCCTCGGCAGACCCTGTAGTGGGCTGGGGACCCGCAGGAGGCTACGTCTTCCAGAAGGTAGTCAACACTGTTGGTTTTGTTTGCGTGTTCGGATGGTGATGTTCAGGAGTGTGTGTGGGCGGGGGTTTGTCTCATAATCCTCTTGTTGTAAATTCAACAGGCCTACCTGGAGTTCTTCACCTCCAGTGAAAACGTCACCGCTCTCCTCAAAGTACTGAAGAAGTACGAGCCCCGTGTCAACTACCATATTGTCAATGTGCATGTAAGTTTGAACAGGGAGCTATCAGTCTGTGTTTGTGTGCTTTGTGCGTTTGTTTGTTTGGGTCAACATCATGTCATCCTGAACACTTTGTGTGCAGGGCCGTAACTTGACCAATGCCCCTGAACTGCAACCTAACGCTGTGACGTGGGGGATCTTCCCTGGCAGGGAGATCGTTCAGCCCACTGTAGTGGACCCGGTCAGCTTCATGTACTGGAAGGTAAGATGGAGACCGTCCTGCCGATTCAGATGTAGATAGGAGTGATGGGTTAAAGCCCTGTATTGTGGGAAGGTCTACTGGGCAGAACTGGCACCTTGACTAATAAACAGGGGCATGTGATTGACGTCATGAAGTACATTGTATTTGACACCAGCAGTTTTCTGGACTGGTGGATCTCTTCTGACTGTCCCCATGTTGTTCTCAGGACGAGGCCTTTGCCTTGTGGATCGAGCAGTGGGCCAAACTCTATGAGGACGAGTCTCCTTCACGGATGATAATCAAGTATATCCACGATAACTACTTCCTGGTCAACCTGGTGGACAATGACTTTCCTCTGGAGAACTGTCTGTGGCAGGTGATTGACGACATGTTTGAGCTGCTCGATGCTCCTCCAGAGACACTCAGTGACCTGACAGTGTCAGAATAAAGTCCAGCATTTCAAACAGGTTTTTTTTTAAGGAAAGTAACACTACAGAACTGTCAATGTTTTATGCATCATCTATGAAAGCTGCTATTAGAGTAAGAAGTGTATTTCACAGTGTTTTCTAAAGACTTTTTATAAATGTTTTTTTTAACATTTGAGTTAATGGAAAATCTGGTGGAAAATGAAACTGTACGAGAGGATCAGGACCATCTGTAGCTTTATCCTCTGCAGTTCCCTCAGCTAATAAACTCCACTCAGACCCAGAGTTTCTTATGGACAGAAAAACAACACATGAGAAACTAAACTCCCACATAATGAATTGTGAACATGCTGTGTGCTTTTTATAGTGTTTTTCAGTAAATGTTTTATTTTCAGAGGAAAATAAATCAATTTGTGTATTTGAATTAATTTTTTAAAGATATGTACTGTTCTGGGTGAAAACCTGATACAGGTGTGAGATGTATGAGAGTCAACGTCTTGTTTAATCTCATTTTGATGCTATAAACATAAGAGTCAGACAAACGGATGCCAATGACATTTATATGTTTTAAATGTGTCATTTGTTTGCTCTGCTGTTCAGTACTGTACCATAAGTAACCTGCTCAGTGTAGGTTACTAAGCAGCTCATTTATATATTTTTCTAATTAATGTGGATCAGAGGTGGGGGACTCTCTATAGCTAATTTCCCTCCTTCATGACCTTTTCACTCATTTTGGGATCAGCTGGGAGTCAGGGGCGGAGTCAGAGCTTCAAAATTGTTCTTCAGAAACCTAAGGTGACATCTTTATATAAAGTCTATGCTTTGACTTGACTTAGACGTGACACAGATGACTCGAAAGGACCTGACTTTTTTTTTCCTTTTTTTTTTTTAAAACATTTGCAAGTTACATTTTGTTTTCAAAACATGATCGGGTGATTTCTAGTGCAATGGGTGCTGAAAATACTGACATTGATTGCAGGAGGAAAGAGAATTAAGCACAATGCAGGTTCCACATAGAGATGTATAGTAGTAGCAATAACAAGAATGGCACTCATACCTCCGCTAAAGGCCAAACAATGCTACCAACATCCCAGACAGAAAGTGATTCCATCTGGGATTCCTGGATCCTGTCTTTTTAAACGTGGAAACTGGAGCTGATCATCAGGATTTTATTTAACTTGACTTGCTTGTCATCACAGTAACTTGGGACTTGAAGGTTAAGACTTGCTTGTGACTCACTCCCACCTCTGATGTGGAGTATTGCTGCAAGACATTCAGTGGCTTCATTAGGTTTCAGAATGACAGCACCACCACATAACCATGGGTCCAAAGGCCATAGAGCAGATGACATGGTGGGGATTTTCCACAACATTGAGTAACTGCCCATCAACAAATGAAAGTACAAATCATCACCGTGCAGAGAAGTGGTGTGAGCTGATGTAACGCACTTACTTTACTCTGACCTGAGGCTTTTGACCGGGTCACTTACATCAGTCAGACCATCAACAGTCATCTCCGCCTCATAGACCTACACCTCAGATGGAAACGTGCCAAGGCAGTGGGGCACAGCAACCTTCCTGACAGCATCACAGTACTGACCTGAGATAAGCAGTGTAATCAAAATATCTGCATCACAATTTATTGCAGAGACAAAGACATGAAATCTGGTTGAATTATGGCTTCTATTCTGAAAAGATATATAATCACCACTGACCACCTCTCACTGGGGTTTATATATTTCTGTGAAATAGGAAAATGTGATGCAATTTGTGTTTTGGAGTTAATTTAAAAGCCACATGTTGAATACACTTGTCCAACATCCACTTCTGTCTATTGTGCTAGAGTTATGTTAATGAACGGATCGTCTCTCCGGTGTTGGCATGGTGCCGTGTCTCTACCTGTGATTTTGGTCATTACAGGTCAAAAATCAGTATTGGACAAACAAACATTTTACATGATGATGGCGCTCGGCGAAAAGTGAAACCAACTTTCAAGACAAAACAGTTTTTTAGAGATTTCACTAAAAACCATAGCTCTAAATTTTAGTTTGTCCACTACTGGCTGTTGCCTTTCAGGGAAAGTCACCATTTTGAATAAAAGAATAAGACCCTTGTGGGTCCGTGTCGACCTGATGGTGGCGCTAGAGGACGAATCGCATGATCACCAGTGTACACAGGATTCATCCTCTGGGAACCACAAATGTTTGTTCAAAGTCCAGTGGTTGAGTTAGTGTTGTCCCGTATCAAAAACAAATGACTCCAGCAGGAGTAAACAGGACTGTGTGTGCATGGAGATGACCTGTCCATGCTCTGCTGGGACACTTAAGTGGTTTCAGTTTGATGCACAGTGGAGTCACTGTGGAGGATGCAGCTGTCAGCATTACTCTTCCACATGTAATATTACATCAGCCAAAGTTGTTCTACCTTGCAGATGTTGGCAGTGTCTGTTGTTTGCCAGTGAGTCATAGTAAACACTTACGATTGGTTTTCTTCACTAAAAGGTGAGTGATGAGATGCACAGCAACAGGGCTGCTCATTTCCTCAACAGAGAGAACATATAACAATATCTGCTGTCATATCATTTTACTTTGACATTTAGATAGTTAATTGATCTTTGATAGTGATATAGGCATCACTAAGACTGTTTTAGATTTACAGTGGGTGAAAGTTCAGCAGTGCCATAAAAAGTATGTGGTTCAATTCTGGCCAGGAATGTACAGACTGAAGCCTCAGCTATGACCTCTAACCCCTTTTCCAGAGGAACTCTTAACCATGTGACCAGAACAGCTGCTGCCTCTCTCTGGATATCTGTGTCAAGACTGATGTATTGTAATATTTATTATCTATTAACCCCTTGAGGTAAAATATTGACAATGGTTCCTTTTATTCAGTTGTCAGTGAGCATGCACGTTACATCTGGATACAGCTGTCACTGGTCACTGGACACACTCGAGCTCTGATCACCATGGGCCTCAACAGTCCATCAAAAACTGGAATTCACATTAAGTAATTAATGTGTCAAGATTCAGGCGATTTGAAGCTATAAGAAAATATAAGAGGCTTTTTGGGTCAGTGACTATGGTCACTTTGTAGTTCAGATGCTCTGATTGCACCTTTCAAGGCTGGATTGTTAAACAGATGAAGCAGCTGCCATAAGTGCTTCAGACCCTGAAAGCCCCGGGTTCCCACCTTAACTCTTCAGGGACAGTCATCATTTGATGTACATGACATTTTGAGTGTGGTCAACACAGACACATAATGTGTGCTCGTCTCTGGTCTCTGGCTCCAACCAGTGGACACAATTAAGACTGTGAAGAAACATACAATACATGTTGTCCATCACCAGACGGTTCAAGCAGGAAATCCTAAAGGGACAGGGTCGTCACAACAGTTGGGATTGTTTGGAGTGGGGTTGTATGAGGTAGTCATGCATAGTCGGTGTATTACCTGCAGTAGATTCAGATCAGCGTGCTGCCTGCTAAGAGAGGCAGCAGGGAACACCTGCACACAAGCAGAGCTATCAGTTGCTGTGCACGGGGGCCAGCAGAAAAAACCTGTTTTAGACACGCCCAGCGAAACAATCTAATATCTGTTGAAATGTACGCTTCATACTGGAATATTTTCAGCGGTTTATCTTCTCGTGAAAACAGCACTTTCCTTTGGCACAAAATTTTTTCAACTGCTTAACTATTGTATTCCTACACACAAGTTATTCTTATAATATCGTAACAATGAAATTTGATTTTAAGAACACAACTTCAATAATACAATATTCTGACTTCTTCTAAAATGTGACATAACAGCAATATTACAAATATCCTTGTAAAATAATGACTATCTTGTGATATCATCACCTTTTTCTTGAAATTACATTATTACTGTAACAACATTTTTTATTCATGTAATCTGACTTGGTTTCTCTCATCTTTACAGCGGCCTAATACTGAGTCACTTAATCATTAACTCCATTAAAGCTGCAGCAAACTACCCTGGTCATAGTGTTTACTGACCAATTACTATTAACATGTATTGGAAAAATTCCAGTGAACAGTGGATTTAACTTTTATTTTCTAAAACACTGTACAGTTCTGTTGGACACAGCAACTTCATGAAAATCACAGCACAATTCATTAATTCATTCTGTGTTCAAGTCGACCGGCATTTCTGTGTTAATTATCACATATAAAATATTGTGCCCTCTGAGTGTACACTAATATGACAGGGATGTTAAAAATACAAATACACTACATATAGAAATGTAACTGCGGAAAAGGGTTGCTAAAGATATTTAGCGTATGACTTTCTTACTCTTCAGGCAGAAGACTCTGACCTGCGGATTCAATTATAATAAAAGCCATTCATGCCAGAAAAATACATAAATTGGATGAAAATTATATAATACTGACGTGAATTAAGTAAATTATATAATTAAATTATAAATTCTGTTTGTTTTCTTAGTTTAGTGTCTCACACTGGAGACGGTAGTTTACGTGCTGCGCTCTGCATGTGTTTAGGTTCAGGCCATAAGAACATTTTGGATTACATTCAGACAACATCAGGGTTTTGGTTAAATCTTAGCTAATCAAATTGTCACCAGACATTTTCATTATTTAACTAAGTCTCTCCACCTGATAGAAAGTGCATATTCCCCAAAATGTCTAACTTTTCCTTTAACTTTGTATAAATGAGTGTGAAAGTTGTCTGTGAGCTCCACAGTAATTTACTGGAAAACTGGTTCAGACAGAGGGATAAAGAAGTCCAGTCTACCAGGTGAAGATCATTGCTACAGTTTTTAGGACCCCTCTTCGTATGCTCAGTGCCGCCAAGACTACACACACGGAAAAGACATGCTCCTTGGCACAATTTCACATGTTGGTTAATGAGCTACTTCCTGGAACACCCAAGCAACAACAACCAAGACTAGCTCGTCAACATCTATAAGGATGTCAGCCTCAGCCGTCAAATTCATACGAACAATGGAAGGTGACTTTGTGCTCAGTCTGAGCTCACCTTCACACGCACGCACGCACGCACACGTTGGTGCCACCACAAAAATTGTCTTTTTGTAGCACACAAATATGGGCTCAAAAATCTAACAGTTTAACAGAGTTTCCATCTGCTGCTGTTCTTGTGAAACTGTGGTTCACTTTTCAAAATGAACTTGCGACCAACGGAAAGTTAAGATCTCATATTTAAGCAGTCCATCTAACACTTCAAACCTGATCCTATGAACACCAAAATAGAAAACGAGAGTTTCAAATCATGTACTGTAGGTTCACAGGGAGGTTCTGAATAAGAATATTGCAATATGATATTTACAGTCTAAACCCATCCTGCTCTTTCTGCTGCATCACAGCCTCTCTCACTGCATTTAATCACTCACTTCATTTTAAAGCCTGAGATACCACTTTCATCAAGATGGCAGGAGCTGAAAACAGATTTCCTGAGCTGCAGACAGAGCCCAGAGTAACTAACAGTGATGTCCTCAGTCCGTCGATCCATCGTCTGTCTGAAGACTAAACCTCTTATGTAAACATGAGCATAACATTAGTTTATAAGATATTTGAATTTGATAGCGTTCTAGCAGTGTACCCCGAGTGTAACAGTTAGCTTTGAATGTGTGCATGTACGGCAGATTTCAGAGGTCAGGGTCATCCCCCCTGAGGGTGCTGAACTCCTCAGCAGCTGAGTATTTGTCAGAACCGCGGCCAGACGACTGGCGGAAGCCTGCTGCAATCTCATCAAAGGTTCGGCCCTTGGTCTCTGGCACCTTGAAGTAGGTGAAGACGAAGAAGCCCAGCAGCAGGACCGTGAAGATGATGAAGACGTACGGACCACAGAGTTGCTGCGTCAAAGGCAAAATGTAATTCATTTTAAATTATGGGCACGAGCTACAGCATGCATATTCAACAGTTAGGAGGGTTAATGGCGTTTGTGGACTGCAACTGTCTTACCTCGACATACTGGAAGCACATCCCCACTAAGAAGTTGGCAGACCAATTGGAGAAACCAGCAACTGCAATGGCAGCAGGCCGGGGCCCCTGGCTGAAGAGCTCGGCCACAATGAACCAGGGAATGGGGCCAGGGCCAATTTCAAAAAATGCTACAAAGCTGAAGATGGCTGCAATGCTGACATAGGACATCCACTTGAGCTGGTCCTGAGGAACAGCACACCACAGATGTTTTCAGTCGCTTCATTTGAAAAGATGAACAGATGGAGTAAAGGTGATCTTGAAAACTTACCAACAGCGCCATGGCAACAGTTAGAAAAATTGCTGAAACTGCCATTCCCATCAAACCAATGAGGTGAAGTGGTCTTCTGCCCATTCGCTCCACCACAAACAACTGCAAAGGACAGGAAGTGTCTCATGACAAGATGAAGGTAAATGTTACCAACATCTTTTTAATGGTTCTTTTGTGACTTACAGAAACCACAGTGAAGGCGGTGTTGACCACTCCTGCACCAATGGTTGCATAAACAGGCTGCGACACGCCTGCTCGCTCAAAGATCCCAGTTGAGTAGTAAAACACCTAAAGACGATGACATGACACAGGGAACGGTTGGCGTTGGCGTGCATATGAATTACTCTGTAGACACCTGAACCAAGAACTGGCCTCTTACAGCGTTGATTCCAGACAGCTGCTGCGAGAGCTGCAGCATGATGGCAACAAAGATGGGCTGGCGGTACATGGGGGAGCGGAACAGCTCGGGGATGGTCACCTTCTTCTCCCTCTTCATCTGCTGGCTCTCCTCCCTCATTTCCTGCATGTCCTCACTCACGTCGTCAGTTCCCCGCAGCTTCACCAAGACTGGAAGAGAGCAGTTCATGTGACATCTGTGTCGGGGAAACACACACTGATGTGCTGGACAGGATGTGCGGTCAAAAGAACAGGCGTTAATCAACCTTTCTGGCAGCTGTTGGTGCCAGTTCAGGTCACTACGGCAACGGTAAACTGCGTAAGTTAGGTCCTTTAGGACAGTAAACATCATGACTAATTTAACTCTTGCCAAAGTTATGTTGTTTATAATTGTGTGTTTTGTCAAATGTGTGTGCGCGTGTGTGTGTGTGTGTGTGTGTGTGTGTGTGTGTGTGTGTGTGTGTGTGTGTGTGTGTGTGTCTGTGTGTGTGTGTGTATGTGTGTGTGCGTCTGTCTCACTGCTGCGGGCTTTGCTCTCCTCGTTGCAGTTGATGAGGAGGTACCGGGGGCTCTCGGGGCAGAGGGGCAGCAGGATACACTGCAGCACTGCTGGCAGGAAAGTAAAACCCAGCAGGAGGGGCCACAGGGAGGCATTCCCCATGATGGATTCAATCCCAAAGATCTACACAACACACACAACACAATGCTTACACACATACATATATATATATACACTGTACAGCACACAGAGCAGCACATTTGTCACAAGTCATAACCAAACAGGAACATCCTTTTAGACTGGGTTCAGGTTTTTGTCAGTTCCAGACATTTTTGACAAAGTATGTAACTTCTGCCTCTCAATCAAAGCAATATGAAATGACGGTGTTGAGTGATGTCACGAAGTAGCATGGGACCATGGGAGTTGTCTTCAACACCACTGCAATCAGTGTGAGTCGTTCCGGAGGTTTTTACCAGGAGCTGAATTATCCACAGAGGTCTCCTCTCCTCCAAAACAAACAGACCAGGTGATTATAACCAGTAAAACACTGAATAAAACAGTTTCACGTTTAAAGTCAGTGATTAACCGACGCGGTTCAGCAGATACAGGAAACTGCTGCAATAATAACAGCAGTGAACAGGCGGAGAACAGACACAACCACCACATTCGTGCCCCTTTTCTTGTTTAATATAAACACATAGTTCACCAGACTGCTATGATCCCATGTCCCTTCAGTAGTGAGTTATCCCATCCAACTTCATGGTTGTGTCAGGAGCTTGTCTGTGTAGCCGTGATGCAGCAGTCCTTCATCTCATGCATTATAGTCCATTACACTCACTTCTGCAAAGCTCCAGAGGATCCTGGTGGCTGTCGCTTGAGATTCACCATTCACATATTACATTCATGGCTCCATCATTTGCAGATTTTCTTTTTTGATGATTTTAATTGTACTTAATAGTCGCTGTGAAGGTTTGTACATTGCTAAACTCGTTTTAAACCTACACCTGAGACAAAAACTCAGGTGTGGCTAAATGCTGGGTTGTATTTTTAGAACATCATATAATGTTATGTTACAGTTTGTAAAATGCACACTTTAGACTCTTCACAAACAATATGCAGGGTGGGGGTGGGGCTGGCACCAGTCCTGTCATTACCCTTAACTCATTTAACTTTAATAAACATGATGTTCTGACACTTGAAGCATAAGTGCCACTGTTACACAGACTGGTGTAAACACAACAGCCTGTGGTCAACAGTGTTTTAACATCTGCCAGATACATCATCACAAACTTTACCTTTGTTGTGCAATAAGTTCACGTGGATACAATAATCTAATCATGACCAATAATCAGGCTAAGGCCTAAGTCCAATTAAGATGTTTTGTGCCTGCGTTGCTTTTAGGAATCTACTTGATGCACAGGACATGTGTTTGTATCCCAGAGAAACAATGGCAGAGTGGACCATACAAATAAAATGAACCCAATGCATTTTATAAATCATATGTAAATATTATATATATATATATATATATATATATGTGTTTTTGTTTTTTTCTTATTATCGTAGAATGAAGCATTTTACCAACACAACACGTTTTCAAACAGCTGGTCTGATGTGTGTGTGTGTGCTGGTACGTTGGACAAAAACTCAAAACAGTTGGACTAAAGTGTTTACATGACTGACAGTTTCATCATATCAACATGGTGACAGTATGGTGACTCCGTCTTACTCACATTAATACTTTAATCACGTTATGTTGTGATTAAGATTGTTGTTAAGCTACAAAGCTCTCAGGCTTTCAAATAATAGCCAACCTGGACAGAGAGGTGTTACGCCCTCTCAGACTTTTAATGTGAAACATCTGTACAGGAAGTGCAGATTTTGGAGGTTTCTTCCTGTTACAAGGGAGTTTTTCCTCCCAAATGTCGCCAAGTGCTGCTCATTGTAGGAGCTGTTGGTTCCTCTTTATAATATTGTAAGGTCTTGACCTGACTCTTTAAAGTGCTTTGAGATAATGTTTGTTATGATTTAATGCTGTACAAATAAAATTGAATTGAAACTGAAATGAAAAAAAATTCATTTGAAATAATGGAGCAGGCATAATATCTGACTTTGTGGGTTTGAATACTTTTAAATGTTGATACTATCACACGATAAGGAGTTTATTTATTCGTTCTGACGCCATGGGAAACTAAGGGGACGATCATGGTTCAAGGGTTGAGGATCTCACCTGTGCCATGAGAATGCCGATCACGACACCAAGCTGATGCAGAGTTCCTAACGCTCCACGGAGAGACGTGGGCGAGATTTCTTCAACATACATGGGCACAAAGCCAGTGGACAGACCAGAGTAGAGACCCACTATGAACCGGCCAATGATGAGCATCTCAAAGGAAGCAGCCAGTTGGGAGAATCCCATGAACACGGCGGCAATGAAGGCGAGTACGTTGGCCATGAGCATGGAGTTCTTCCTGAAGAGATGATAAGAATATTCATTAATGGTTTGTCATTTTTTTCCTTTTTTAAGAGAACGTGTGATTAATAATGATGTTGGAGATAGGAAGAGTCGCACCTGCCGAACTGGTTGACGAAGAGGCCGACAGAGAAGGAGCCGAACATCCCGCCCACAGAGAAGATGGCCACAGAGAGCGACCACAGAGCTGTTAAAGTGGTCTGAGGGATGGGCTCTGAAAACCTGCTGCTCCACGTCTCGTTGTAGAAGCTCTCAATAATCTAAAACACAAAACAGCACACAGTAGGTTCAACATGTAAGACGCATAAAAAAACACATTAAACTTGCTTGTCTCAGGTTTTCATGTTAGTCAGTCACCACATTGGTCCAGAGTGAAATATTTTAACAACGACTGACTTCAGAGATCCTCTGACTTTTCCTCTGGCACCATCATTACGTTTCTCTTGGATGGATTTCCATGACATCGTCTACAGACACTCCTGGTCCCCAGTGGATGCATCCTACTGGGTTTGGTGGTGATCCTTTGACTTTCCCTCCAGCACCAGCAGCAAAGTTTTAACTGTCTATACCCTTTAGCTCAGTGCACCACTAGGTCACAGTAGAGCCTCACAGAGCTACTAGTATGACTGTAGACTATGGGTCTCTTTCCTTTTCCAGGGAAGCTGTCCACAGGGCGCCTCAGTGGCTCACCTGGTAGAGCGCGTCATAACAACAATAATGACTCTTAACACCTCCATGTTTTTCATAAGACGATACTCACATTCTGAGGAGCATTGATGACACCTGTGTTGTAGCCAAACTGGAGAGAGCCAATCACAGCTGTCCCCACAGCCATCATCAGCTGGGGCGTCACCTGTTGTTATAACAGAGAAACACAGATGCAGGTCTGCGTTTAACAAGACAACCATCAAAGATTATTCATGTTGCTGACTGAGAGTGAAGAAGCCAAGAGGTTCAAAGTAGATGAGTGCAAACACATCTGTGCAGCTATAGTTAGCAATGTGCTGTTCAGTGTTTTGGCAAATGGGCGTCCCCACACTGACACAATGAATCACACTCAGCAGGTTTAAAGTGTGTGATGTATATTTACTGAGGTACAACTGTAAGGTACTTAAATATTTAAATCTTACAGTGCTTCCACTACACTCAGAGGAAACATTGAACTGTTTACTGTGAAAATTATAATTTAACATCCAAAACATACAATGGGTTTAGAGAATATGATGCACTGCAACAGATTAAATAACACAACTGAACCTAAAGTACCTACAATTAGCTCCTCCTACAAACTACAAGCTAACATTGTTATAAAGCATTATAAGTACCTTCAGTACATTTTGCTGATAATACTTCTTTACTTAAGTACATTTTCAAATGTAGGATTTTTACTTGCAGTAATACTTTTAGATTAAAATACTTTAATGACAGTGAAGGGGCTGGGTTTAAGAACACAGTCTAAACCTGCTGTTGATGGACACAATCATCCCACAGTTCACACAGGCAGAAGCACACAACCACAAGTGTCTCTGAAAACACAAATACATGATATATTTGCTTCGTCTTAGTGAGTCTGAATTGGCAGTGGTGCTCGATGTCTCGTTTGTTGACAAAGAAGAGCAAAAACACTCTGCTAGAGAGTTCACAATGACATGTACAACAATGAGTTATAGTAGTATGATGTAGACTTGGGACACACTGGGAACACTTAGTGGCACCACTGAGGCCCGACAGTGATGGTGAGTGTGACCATACCGCTCTGAGGAACATTATCCTGGCTATGGTCTGTATCAGATGTTGTTGGTGAGTTTTGTCTCAGAAGCTGCTGTTTGTTTTACTTGCCACACACAACCTGAGAAACTGGAGAAGCACCTGTTATCACACTCTTTTTTTTTCCTTCGGCTAATCAGTCACTTTATAACGTGGTGCACTGATCACACTTTACCTTCCCGTCGCCCTCCATACTGGCTGCTCGGTCCACTCACAAACTTCCAGACAGAGACAGAATCCGGATCATTAGTAATCCCTCTAGTCAGTATGTGTCCTTTCAACAAAAACAAGTGGTCATGATGCTGTCTGTCCTGTTATTTAGTCCAACATCAGTGTAAACAAATCTCTCTCAGATTCTCCCTCCATTCACCTGCTGCAGTAAGCAGCTTTGTGACGTCAGCACTAAGTGGGTCTTAATGAGCTGCCGTGCCTCCGGAGGAGCGGGAGAATCTCTGCGCTGATTGGCTGAGGAGAAAATACAGAGTAGTAATACATTAGCAGATGAATAATCCCAGCGTTACTGATAAAAACTACAAAGTACGGCACAAGAAGCTCTAGAAATACAACCGAAGAGGAACCACTTGTAAATCTTTATGTTATCCAATAAACAGAGCATCAAACTGCTGCACTGTTTATTGCTACAGCCTCAAAAACTATTTGAAAAAAACGAAATAAAGGAAAAGATTCAGGGAATCAAATTAGATTGTTTTATTAATTTTGTGAGATTATTAATCTTTACATTATTCTTATACACACACACATATATATATATATATATATATATATGTATATATATAGCGCCAGTCGTAACCTGTACTGTGATTTACCTTATAATGAAAGCTGAAAAGCCTACAACAGTCTGTGTTTGTGTATTCCATGTTCTCTCAACGCTAGAAAGACAAGGGCTGGCCGCTGCTCCAACTGTTGCTGACTGACCTCTCCATCCAGCAAAGAGGTCGTCCTTGGAACAGGGGGACAAGGACATCCTCTTCCTGTAGGGTGTGGACAATGAAGTTAAAGGGCTGCTCTTTAACATCATTGTCCTGGACGAGCAGAATGAGCCCTCCAGCAGAGGTTTGCCGCCTCCTCCTCCTCCTCCTCCTCCTCCTCCTCCATACAATCAGCAGTAAAGGCCCTCTTGTTGATCCTCCCCTTGCTCCAGCGATACTCCCCTCTTCTGTTCAACCGCCTCCTCTTCTTGGACTATATGTACGCAGGAACACGGCCTACAGGAAGAGGAAGGCGGCTGAGGCTGCTGCAGAGATTTTAAGAGATTTTACAAACAAAGAACCATTTCTTCATTGCAAACAACCTTAAAATTTAATGAAATGTTTTCAAAGTTATCTTGTCATATGAACATAAAAATGTTTGGTGCATATTTTACAACCATTTTTTTTTTTTTTTAAGTTCATTAAACTGTTTAAATGTAAGCAAAGTGCACCATGTATGTGTCGTCAATTGGTACTTATCAAGTACTAATTACTAATTCAATTTAAGTAAATAAAAAAAAATAAACATAAATTAACATAAAACAATTATGTCAAGCTCACAAGGGATGAGTTTCTATCAAGTGAACAACTCATTTTAACAGTCCTGATCATTTCAGTGGACTTTACAAAAATTGGGGATGGTTTGGTTTTTACAGTGTAATTCAAACGACATTGTTTTATTAATGGCCTGAAATGTACAATTTGAACTGAGATTACGGAAAATGTATGAAGATTATAGATAATTATATTATTAAGTTCTCATGGTTGTGACCTGTTTAAAGTTTGAATGGTGCTTTTAAGGGAAGTGAGAATGTGTAGACAGAGGCTGAATGAGACTGGGTTTGAAAGTTTCTCTAAGAGTCACTTCAGTCAATTAAACTAAACTGCATTGTTTGAGGAACAGCTGGAGCTAAACTACAACGTTTAATGGATGACTGGTGCTCTGGGCTGTTGGTATGCTGGTACCAGGTAGCTTGTACGTTTGTGCGGGTGTGTGTCTTTGTGGGTATCAGATATCTGTGCGTCTGTGTGCTTGTGTGTGTGTGCAAGTCTAATCAGCTGATCTAAATCGGTTTTGTGTGACCAGCTGCAGTTAATGGTTTCTATAGTGATGATAACTGCTTAAGTACACCTGGTTAAAAGAGGGATGATGGTGAGACACACCTCTAAACTCTGGCTTATAACATTAACTCATACCACCTGAAGCCTAATATTTGCTGAGAGGAGACTCTGCTGAACGCACTGATATAAAATATTTGTTTGTGGTGTCAAAAATGTGGGAGGTGCAGCGATTTTAAAAATGTTTTGAACATTTTGAGTTTTGAATGGAGTTTCTAGCTGAATGAGTAGAAGGGGTTGAAAAATGCATGAAAAGTTGTGGAAAACTGGAGATTTTGAACATTTCATCCATTTATCTTGATGGGAGAAATGCCAGAAAAACATTAAATACTTTGGAAAGTATGAAATATATCAAAAAAACTGAATACATCCAGTAATGTCCCAATTGAGCTGAAAGTTTTAACGTTTTCTGTGTATGAAGGAGACACGAATCAAAAAACAGTGGAATAATAAAGAATTTTTGAACCTGAGAAGAACAGCAATCCCACCTAACTACAAGTAGATTAATGGGACATTAACGCTACAGATCTTACCTGAGAATCATCAGGTTTTTAAGATTTCTTCGGTATCAAAGTAACTCACTGATATCTGTCAGTATGTCCAGTGGTACCTGGCAAAAATTTACTGCTAATAGCTAATTCAGAAAAAATTAATTTTCCAAAATGTAAACAGAGGCTAAAAAAAGGAGGATGGAAGAGACTGAAATCTGAAAAACAGCTGACACAATGAGAATAACAGATTCATTTCACAGTTTGGTATTAACTCTTCACTCTAGTGCTGTATTTACGTACAGATGTGACCAGAGGCCCCTGACACAATCCAGCATCACTATACAAACGCTCTAAAGCAGTGTGTGTGTGTGTGTGTGTGTGTGTGTGTGTGTCCCTCGTGTTGGTCCAGGTGAGAGGCTCTCTCTCACTAATCCTCTGAGCACAGCAGCTATTTTTACATCCACTCAGCAGAGTCAGTGGAGAACGTCTCACTGATGCCAGCATGCCTGACATGTGACCTGATGTACTGAAACTGAACAAACAATCATGAACAAACTGAACATTTCAATAGTCGTTCAACAGTTATCCATGACTTTCAATACAATTTAGTATATTGTGTATTTGCACGTGAGCCTGCAACATGAGAATGCTCCAAACGAACCAACTCATCCAACGACATCAGACATCAAACGTTAAATAGTTGGCGAGAACAGCCGCACTGAAAGGCAAAGTGAAAAGCCAGCCATCATAGGGAAAAAATCATTTAAATATGAGGCTCACAGAGCACATTCTCGTTCTCTCCACGAAGACATTTATAGTGTCCACCTCAGCTGTTCACGTGAAAAGTAACAGAAGTAGTCGTGTAAAGAATGAAAAACGAGCTGAGAGAAGTTCAGTCGCTGGCTCGTGTTTCACCTCCAACACAGCCGACCAATCAGGGCCTGAAGTGGACGTGAATGTTGGTTTGACGGTTTTGGGAAGTAACAGAAATTGTCAGATGCAGGGCGTCCTTATCTGATGGTGTAGAGGGAGGGGTGGTTCCTCTGTGAACAGCTCTGGGAGGCTTAGCTGCAGTACTGCCGTGAGATAAATACCACCATCAGCATGCGAACATACATGGACCGATTCTGCTCTGTCATGTCACATCATGTATCATTATTACGACCACAATCAGCACTGCAATGTACTTTATAGATTTATAGGTATGTTTATTAACATTTCTTTAAAAAGCCAAAGTGCACAATGAAAAGTAGAGATGTCTCAATCACACATTCAGTGTCCTTTAAAAACTTAAATTCATGATAAAAATCTATTTCTAATTTTTGGGACTGTATTTAGAGGGTTAGGGTTTATTTTTGATTTTTAGCCTCTTATTCGATTCTTATACATTTAATTGTGGTGACAGATACCCGTCACTGCGTAAATATTCAGTGGCTTTTTGATTTCTGGTGTGATTTCTGTATCCCCGCCCTTTTTTTTTTTTTTTGAATTCTACTAAGCTTTTGACTATATATATACATACAGTGTATATACATCATTTTACCACCTGGTTACTCAAGAGGGCACTGTTCTCTCAAATATTGGGGTACGTTTTGTGTGTTGCTGGAGTCATCAGGGTTTTATCTCCACTGGTTCTCGGAGATAACAGACTAACAGAAAATCCGTTTTACAAGCTGAAGGTGTGGAGTTTGAAAGACTAGGAGAAACTAATGAATGTGTCTAATGAAAAACCCTTGTGACTTGCATTATGGGAAATGTAGGATCCCGGGTTTTTGGAGACTGACCCATATCTAAAGTCTGAATATTTCAACCTCTGTCTCTTTGATTTTGACCATACTTTTTTATACTGTCCCTTGTGAGTCTTTCAACTTTATGGAAGTGACATATTAAATTACTGGAATACTCCTTTAATCCACTCCTGCTGCCATAGGTTTGTAATGGGCTGTTTAGAAACGTTGGTTTAGATTTATCACCAGAGGTAAACTGCAACTTCTCAACAGTGCGGTAGAATAATACTCCATTAATGTCCTGCACTGAACAACTAAGCGCCTCTGAATTTCTATACGCGCACACACACACACACACGTTTTCCTGTGTGGAAACGACACCAAATTAATGGTGGGAATGTGTGTGTGCCGGACCATCTGTTGGTTCACAACAGCTCCGTTCAGCTTCAGGACTCACCTCAGATTCTTTTTGGGGAACGCTGGTTTATATATTTACCTTCATGTGGAACATTTCCACATTGATCGAACAGAGCTGGATTTTTCCAGTTTACTTCTGATGCAGAGCCACCACCAGCAGCCAGGCTCTTATGCAACACTGTGCTGATCACCTCACCATATTTCCACTGTTACCATAACTCGGAGGTAGTGAGTGGGAAGAGAGTTGAAACATGGAAAAAATTTGAGAGGCCCAGTATGTTTGAGCAGACCATAGAAGCCCGGTGAATTCCCACCACAGCAATCCATCAGCAGAGCCCTGACAGAAAGTCACACTTAACCTGTTTTCTGTCTCTCTTTCTTTTGGAAAGGAAGAGGAGTGCCTCTACATGTGACATCACAAGAAACTTGAAACCGTCATTTTCAGCAGCCCTCCCTCCTTTCTGCCTGCTGACACATTTGCTCCCCTCTCCCCACCCTCTCCCCGAGACGCTCTGTGCTTCTCTGCTGGGCTCCAAAAACAGGACAGTGTTATCACCTCCCCAGCCCAAACTACACACTGATCCCAGGACT